GGGTCAACATGACACAGATTCGCTCGGTGAAGGTGGATTCGCGAGGCGGAATGAGAGATCGGTTATGCCGCGTGTGTGTGTCGCGGCGGAGACGCGTATCGCGAGACGACGAAGCGTAACACACACATGTGCACACACACACACACACATACACACACACGCACGCACACGTGCCGCCGAGCCGACTGCTGGTGTTCGTCGATCAATACGCCACGTAGCTAGTGGCAGCGAGATGAGAGGAGGAAGCTGAAGAGCAGGCGGATTGCAAAGAGAGGGAGGCATTGTTGAAGCCATGGACACCGCGCGGGTCGCTGATATTTGCATAGCGCGCGGTCCAGAAATTCGCGCGACCATGTTCGGGATCTCCTCGCTAATCCCCGTCCAGCAGATTGCTGGAAATTAAGCGCGTGCGCGCTCGCTACATTCATCGCCGGCCTCTAATTAGGGGCTTTTGCGCCGCGGGAGAAAACGATCCGCGCGCGTATTTATTCTTATCGCTCTCTCCGACTTCCCTGAAGATTCCTCGGCCGCCCGGAAACGACGGACTCGAAGGACCCGTATTCTCGCCGGATGATACCCTTCGATGCACGAAAGGCAAGCGCGATCTGCTTTAATTTACGAGTCTCCGCAGACCTCGGCCGGATTCTGAAGAGAGCGAAATTTCTCTCGACGAGATGCGATTTTCCGGAATTATTCATCATCACCTCCTCCTCTTCCTCCTCCTCCTCCTTCTCCTCCTCCTGCGAAGATGCCTAGGCCTCCATTGCTGCTTTCCCAGCGATAAGGACCACCGCTCTTGATAAGCAATGAGGATGTCACACGCTCGCGCGGTATTTTTATCTGAGCGGCTATCGATTATCTCGGGAAACAAGGCGCGCGCGCGCGAGAGAGAGAGAGAGAGAGAGAGAGAGAGAGAGAGAGAGAAAGAGTGCCTCCTCGTATATTTCCGGCGAAGAGAAGCTGTCCTCGCTCTGACAGCGTGTTCGGCGACCCGTCGTTCCACCCGTCGTCTCGCCGACAGTCTTCGAAGATATTCGCCGGGTGCGCGATCAAAGGATTTCTCCGTCGCTTGCGCTTCCTCTTCGGGGTGGCCGTCTTTGTCGACGATACTTTGTCGAGTCTTCCCCCTAGATTCCGGAAGAATGTGCGCGAGGGGTTATCGACCTGTCGCGTCGATTTCGCCCTCGAATTCCCGCGTGCCCCTCCTCTTTTTCGCCTCTTTTCCGCTTACGTAATGACAGGCGAGAGACTCGGCCGTAGAAGAACGGGACAAGAGAGAAAGAGAGCAGGAGGCACGCAAAAGGGAGGAAATAGAAGAAGAAGGGTGACAATGGAGGACGACGAGCGCGACGAGATAAAGGGGAGTAGTACTCGGCGAGCGGCCTGATTTCAGAGCGCCTGAGAAAGGACGACTGCACGACGGGTGTTCCGCGAGCGTGCGAGCGAGCGAGCGAGTCCTCGCGCGGTGATTACAAGCGGGAAGGCTCCGCGGCACGCGTGCGAATAATTTTCCGGTTCTCCGGGAGGCCTCTCCGCGAGAGGCTGCTCAACGAAAGAGGTCGGTTGCATTGGAAATTCGCGCCGCGAGAGAGTGTGATTCTCAGAAGCGCGCGTTCGCCGCCGTTCCGGAAGAAACATCCTATCTAAATTCGCTCCTTTCCCACGCATCCCCTCCCCCTCCCCCTTGCGCCCCGCCTTGCTCCGTCGGGCGCGTTTGCGTGAGGAAATTCGTGAAAATCCGTGCACTAGGCGATTTCCCATTCTCTCTCTCTCTGTTCCCCCCCCCCTTCTCTCTCTCTCTCTCTCTCTCTCTCTCTCTCTCTCTCTCTCTCTCTCTCTCTCTCGAGCGTCGGAGCACTCGCAAGTAGGACAGCTAGCGAGCAGCGAAGATGGCGACTGTTAAAGAGAGCCGTAGTCGACGAGCGCGTAGCGTTAATTGAGCCGATCGAAACGTGTGCACGCGTGAAAAGGAAGGGCGTGAGCGGGCCGAGGGGCGTGCAGGTTCAACGATCTTCATTACGCGCGTATGTGTGTCCGTTTAAGAGGCTCGCGGTGAACGAATGATCGACGCGGCTCCCACGATGTGCGGCGATCATCCAGCGGAGACCGTCCCATGAAGCGTAACCCCATGACCGTCGACCCTTATTAAAGCCACCTTCCTCTTACGCTCGGCTAGGTCACGTACGAGGTGTCGCGAAAGTAAGCACGACAGTGACCGATCCTGTCGCTCGGTCCCCGGCCGATTAGTCTTCGAACATGTCGCGACCGCCTCGTCACGCGCATGCCGATTGCGAGGATTTTTTTTTTAATTGACGAGACTGCTTTTACATATATATATATATATATATATACACACACACGCGCGCGCGCGCACACACAAAGGATAAAAAGCGCGCAAGCATGCCCGACGGCTAAAGGCGAAAAAAGTTGGACAGGGCACATTTATTTAGCACATTATCACAGTTTGTTCATCGCGCGGCGACCGACAAAACGGAAAATCGATCCTCTGGACCGAAGTCGACCGAGAGTGCCTCGGCGAACATGCCTGCAGAACGAGGTTGCCGCGGCAATAATTATATCACGTGCGCAACGTGCGGTGGGATCGATGCCTCCTATCTTCCGCGGACGAGTAACACACACACACACACACACACACACACACACACACACACACACACACACACACACACACACACACACACACGCACGCACACACACACACACACACACACACACACACACACACACGGAGAGTCGCGCCATCGCGAGAAACATCGCCGGGGAGAAAGCAGGACGAACGGAAAGATAGAGGAGACTCGAGAGCGTCTCTGTCGGGCGCGAGTTCCCCGCGCTGATTGTTCGCGGTTTGGATCCACGACGTCGTGTGAGAGCGGGCGACTCGAAATTTATTTATTCATTTTCTCAATTATTCACTTACCGACTCCCCGACGTGCGGGAGCAATAACGCGAAGTCGCGTGTCCCGGAGGTTTGTCATTCGCAATCGGGAAAGCCGGCACTCGCGATCATTTATTCACAGGCAACGAAAGATCCTGCCGCGTGCGACAGGGTGAAACAAAGCAGCGCGTGCACCGAGAAAGGATGATGTAAATAAATAAACAAAACGGAAAGATTCTCCAAAGATTTCTTTCTCAGCCGCGCAACGGAACGGATTTTGCAGGAGGAACAGAGACTTCTCTTTCTCTTAAGAGAGAGAAATGCAAAGATCTGGATTAAAGAGAATACTCGGAAATTGGAAATGATAATTGTGTCCGACGGGGTCGCGTCGCCCCGAGTCACCCCTAGAGCGCTCTAGGGAGGAGTCTATGGGAAACTACGCCAATGCGGAAGAGAGATTCTACGGCACTCGTTGTCGCACCTCGCGGAAGGAGCCTCTATCGATCCTCGCCGCGATATACCTAGGGCGACAGAGGCCGGGAGAGAGAGAGAGAGAGAGAGAGAGAGAGAGAAAGAGAGAGAGAGAGAGAGAGAGAGAGAGAGAGAGAGAGAGAGAGAGAGAGAGGGAAAAAGGAAGCAGAATTGTAGGAAGGTATCGGCGACTAAAAGGAGCCCGGCCGCCCGGCGAAACTCAATTTAGTCAACCTGTCGATACGCGGCCACCCTCGTGGCGATATGTAGCATCGAGGGCGAGATTAGAGCGCGGTTACGGCGATTTGTCCGTCAAGGTACTCAGGATCGGGAGGGTTCTGGAGATGTAAACGGAGACCGCGGTGAAGGCGGACGAGCGACCGCGCGTTGAAACGAAGCTCCGGTCGAGACGCGCTCGACGAGCGATGCTAATCGCTCATCCGAGTCGTTTCCTAATTATTCGCAGCATCCAACCGCTCGGAGGGTACTCGCCCTTCCCGGGCGAGAGAGAGAGAGAGAGAGAGAGAGAGAGATGGAGGGGAGAAACTTTCGGGGCCTGATTCAGTCCTCGCCCGGAAGAGGGAAATTGCTGCGAGAGACTCGGCGTGCCTAGCCTCGTCAAAAACGCAACCGCCAACAGATCGTCATGCATTGTGCACGAAACGGAGGAAATCGTATCGGACAGACACACACAGAGGCAGCAGAGACACGCGAGCCGGAACATCGGGTGACATTGACGGCTCGCACGCGACGCGACGATAATTAAATGAATGCTAATTCCTGTCGCAATGACGGAGTCAAGAGCACGCAGTACGGGTTAATTAGCGCGGCGTGAATCTTCCGTCCGTCCACATTCCGATCTCCCTACATTGCAAAAGATCAATTGATCCTCGCGCTGTTTGTGTGTGTGTGTGTGTGTGTGTGTGTGTGACTGCGAGTTACTTCGCGGCACTCCACCTGGGCGTTCGACAAATTCCGCGCGGCGCGATTTTCGCCGCGCGACCTTCGAAGATCCACCCGCCGAGCCGCGCGCGATCGATACCGTCGCCTTGAGTCGATCTAATCGACCTGGACGACGTCTCGGATCGCAGCGAGCGTGCGCGCGGATCTCCGAGATTCACCGCACGCGATCGACCTCAGAGTCGCGCGTAACCGATCTCGCAAGGCGAGCGCGACACGTACCGCAACTCGAGCGATTGCCGTCGCTTCGTTTAGCCGAACGGCAAAATTCCCCCCGGAACTTCTCTCCGTCTCTCCCCCGCAGCGTCGCGCGGAGGCTCGGCCGATCGATCTCGCTGATCGAGGATCAGGCCGATCTCAAGGCGACCGCGAGCTCGGTTTCTTCCCTCGACGGTCCTCGGAGCGCGTCGAGATCGATCCGACGACGTCTCTCCTCCGACGAATTCCATGCTGCTCGTCACTTCGACGTTCCTCCCGTTGTCTGTCCCAACAACGGAGAACGTCGAGTGACCTTTGCACCGAGGGGAAGACACAGAGGCAGCGAGCGAGCGAGCGAGCGAGCGAGAGAGAGAGAGAGAGAGAGAGAGAGAGAGAGAGAGAGAGAGAGAGAGAGAGAGAGAGAGAGAGAGAGAGAGAGAGAGAGAACGAGCCAAGAAGAGACTTGACGACTCACCTTGACGAAATGTAGGTTCTCCTTGTCGAGGAGGAACTCCATGGACTTGTGGGGCCGCTGGTGGATGGCGGACGCGGCGGCGTCGTCGCGGGGGCTCCTGTGCGAAGCGCCGACGGGCGACTGGGGTACGTGGAGGGCGTGCTCTGGCCGCGGCCGCGGCGCCGCCGAGGTGTGGTTGAGGTCGAGCAGGCTGCGGGTCTTCTTGCCGGCGGTGGTGGCGGCGGCAGCGGCAGCGGCGGCGGCGGCAGCAGCAGCGGCGGCGGCGGCGGTTTGACCGGCGCGCGTCAACGACGCCGTCGTCGTCGTCGTCGTCGTCGTTGTCGTCCTGTTCCCGTAGTTCGTGTTGATCACGGCCTCGTCGAGGTCGGTCTCCAGCAGGCCGACCGGGCGCTCCTGGGCGGCCTGCATCGCGCGCGCCTTCGCCATCTCGATCGCCGCCGGGTTGCCAAGGTCCGTGGCGGCGCGTCGGCGCGACGCCGACGCCGACGCCGACGCCGACGCTGTCGACGCCGACGCCCGCGTGCTCAGTGCGGCGACGCGCGGCGGCTGCGGCGGCAGGGGTGGTTTGCTGGACACTGGCGCCCTCCCGTTACTGCTGCAACAACGACGGAATGTTCTTTAGGCTATTCGGGGAGGGTGTGTGTGTGGGGAGGGGGGTGACGCAGGGGTAGTCGTGTGGGTGATATCGCGGGAGCGTCGCGCTGATACGAACGGCCGACTGTGGTGCGCACCGCGCCACAACCAGGACATCATCTTCTGGAGCGCTGTCTCGGGGACGTGCGGAAGGGTGCTGGTGGTGATCGTGATGGTGATGGTGATGATGAGCGAGGTCCGCGCTGGTGACCACGAGGTTCGTCGACTGACCTACGTCGCACAACACTGTGCGTCGCAGCGATGCGATGCGAGGCGTCGCGTTGCGTCGGGGACGTATGCGCGGGTTAATTGGATATCGACGTTGCATCGACGGTTTTATAAGGGTCACCCTGTCGGTGCGGTGGGGAGGCTTCTTCGCGCTAATTAGCTCGTGTTAATTAGGCTTCCGCGAGTCTCAGGCGAGACGTCAGTCTTGCCGACATCGGCGATCGCGGTGCATCGCGCCGCGCGCGTTCTTTCGTCGCGCGAGCTTTCTTTTCCTCCCTCGCCCCCTCCCTTTTTTCTCTTTTTCCTTTTCCTTTTCATCTTCCGCCACCCCAATTCACCGGTGCGGGCCGGGGTAATTGCCGTGTTAAACGGTTATCGCACGAGGAGAGCGCGCTGAAAGCGACCTTTGCGTTACGTAAAGCTTACAACGACGCTCATTTCGTCTCGCCTTTGTGCCGAGGCGACGGCGAGACAGTGCAGCCCCCGGGGAACGAGAGCGCGCACGGTTTTGTTCTACGACCGCCGTTGTTCACGAGGTAATTGGAAATTGGCGTTTTAACGTTGTGCCGCGACGCGGCATCGGTTTTCGATAATGCGGTGGCGGTGGCGGCGGTTGCCGGCCGGGACAACGGCGCGTTCCTCGCCTCGCCTCGACGAGCGTTCGTTCGTTCGTTCGTTCGTCTGCCGCCTCCGCGCATGAGCGGCATTTCCGAGAATATTTAATCCTTTGCCTACGCATTCGAACACGTCCAACGTTATCAACGTTCGAAAGAATTAACGCCCAAAATCTTATCGCGACGTCACCGCGGTAACACCGTTAACCCATCGGCCGCCAGTGTCCCGCTTATTAAGGAGACGCTTTTTTTTCGATTAAACAAGAATCTCCGCGAATCGCACTTTCGCCTACAGTTCGCAGTTTCGATGAAGAGTAGCTCCGATAATTAGCCCGAAACCACTGAAAGAAGCGCGTTGCAAATGCGTGACGACATCCACACACGATGGAGTCATCGTCATGCGGAAGCTCATTTTTGCCACAAATGCCAGCACGATGTTAATAATAGCCCTAGCGATGATAACATTGTTGATAATAATTATACCGACAACAACCTTACACGCAGCAATCATTTTCTCACTGGAACAACGAGAGACATGATTCATGCAGAAGACTGCGACTTCGGGCCGAGACCGGTCGCCGTCTTCTGCTTCTTTAATCACAGAATTGATGTTCAAAAAGGTCTACAGCATTCAATTTTCAACCGGTCGGGACGATTTTTTTTGTTTAAATGAAGGTGGGAAGATTACCAACAATTCTACCGAGCGATATTTTCGATATCAGGAATCCTAACCAAATCCTTAATAGACAAAGTATGAAATATTGATACATTTTCAGAAGATGACTTTTTCTACTTCTGTCAACGCGCATGCCATTATAATTGTCAAACTATGGTATTGGTTGTCTTCCAATGTCTTCTTACACTTGCGATATATAAATCCGAAGAAATCAATGGCTTATGCATTAAATCTTCATTCGTTGCTACTCGGGAAATTTTCCGCGCGTACTGAACTGTCCGAATCTTCGAATTTCCTTGTTTCTTCTGCAGCTTGTAGCTTGCTCTGCAGGATTTGGAGTTCACGAGTTGAACAGTAAAAGACTTACAATTCATGGATTCATAATTTGGCAGTTATAATGGTTTGCGCGCGTTGACAGAAGTAGAAAAAATCATCTTCCGAAAATGTATCAATATTTCATACTTTGTCTATTAAGGACTTGGTTAGGATTCCTCATATTGAAAATATCGCTCGGTAAAATTGCAAGTAATCTCATCTTCATTTAAAAAAAAAAAAAAAAAAAAATCGTCCTAATCGTCCGTCGAAAATTGAATGCTGCAAAACCTTCCTTTCCGAACACCAATCTCCTGCATCACAACACTGTGCGATGGAGCAACGACGCCGATGTGGGCGACCGCACACGTGTTCGACATACGGTAGTAAATCAGCGGACGTCTCGCCTTGGCGACGATCAATCGCGAGCCAAATCGGATCTCTCTCACGCCGGGCTCTGCTGCGCTTCGACTCGCGAAGGGGACCTCGCGGTGGACAGTAGCCGCTTTATTGCGTTTCCGAGTAGCGGTCGAGTGATACCGATAGAGGGGCGCATCTATACACGCCGGCGAGGAGGACAGTCATTAATGAGACACTTTCTAGCCTCGCGTCGCAAGCTGCCGAGTGGAGGCACTCGATAAGAAGCCGGATGCGCACAGAGCGAGCCACTATTCCAGAGAGCCTGGCGGGACCTCGTTAGGTTCACAAATGAGCGCTAGAGACGACGACGGTCCGTAATCTGCCGCAGCCGATGACCCCTCGCGCTGACCGCGAGTTACGCGATTACGGGGCAATCAACAGTGAGAGAGAGAGAGAGAGAGAGAGAGGGGGAGAGAGCTCGGTCGAATAATCCGCGATTCGTTAGCTGAGCGACTGCGACGCGGCGCAAGCGCGCACGGTAATTGAGAGCTCCTCGAGTAATTAGTCGCGAGCGACTCGCGAGTGACTTCTCCGCCGAAGTTTCTAAACCCGCGGTTCGATTTACCGCCCGACGAGCTCTCCGCGCTTATCGAGAGACTATAATCATTATCGTGCGCCTCTCGCGGTAAGCGAGAGAGAGGACGGGAGAAAAATAGTGCGAGGGGGAAAGAGGGGGGGGGAGGGATGGGCAGAGAAACGTGGTTATAAAGTTGTAGGAGAGCCGTTCGCGGCGCAAATGGAATTACAATGCGGAAGCCTGGCACGCGCGCGCACGCACGCACGCACGCACGCACGCACGTGAGCCAGCGCGCGCAGTTTTATTACCGCCGCGCATAGCGTGAGATCATGTTTATAAGCGCGAGCGACGATGGGGAATCATCGAGCAGCGTTCTAAAATTAGTATACGGCTACACTCGTAAAAACCGCCGCGGTTTTCGAGTCCCTGAAAACGCGCGCGCGCGCTCGCGCCAGGCGATTGATAATCCAGAGGATGAAAGGGGGGGGGAGAGGGCGGAGAGGATATCGGCGGGAAGAGGAGAAACGTAGGAAAAACGACCGACGGGAGAGCTGAGCTCGCGCGAGAGAGATCGGCCGACGACGACGACGACGCGACTGGAATGAGCGCGGGAGTCGCGCGAGCGGCTTAATTGCGCCGTCGTTAGTGGCGGCTAAATGGGCGCGTTTGTTGGCGTTTTTAGCGGGCGGCGAGATAGAAAGGCAGAAACAGGCTGTGTATAAAAAGGCGCGGATCCGGCAGAGAGGGGAACTACGAGCCGAGGGAACTGCGCCGCCGCGCTTTCGCGACGGCGCGGCGAAGGGAGCAAAAGGTCCGGGGCCGCCGCCGTAGTCGGGAATCTCCGCGACGGCGATCTCCGCCGTAAGCGCGACGTTGAGCCGCCCTGCGGGCACAACGCGACTTCCGGGCTCTCGAACCGGAATGGAATACGATTAATAAGGAGGCGACTCCCTGGCAGCCGCACACACCTACATACGTGCCGCGAGGTGTATATTTAACCGTGGCATGCGCGCGCGCGCACACGCATCGGCGAGCAAACGAGCGAGAGTCCCCCCCCCAGCTCTCGAGAACCGACACGTCGGCTCGCGAGAAGAGACTCGCTTCGCGTCGCGACTTCCTCGTGGAGCGCGCGAGAAGCGCGCTCGGAAAGAGCGCCCGTCGTCCCCGAAAAGTGATGACGATCTCGAGGTTGCGCCGGAGCCTCGGAGTGATAATGTTTGGTACACGACGCGTGAAAACAGTCGGGAGGACGGAGGGGGGGCTCTCTAAATTCCTCCGAGTGAGATCTCACCGAAAACTGTGTGGCAACATTCGGCCGAATCAGCGGTGAAAATTCAATTGCGAATTCGGAGTGATTTGAGACTAATTGCGCGGCGGAGTAATTATAGGCCATCTCTCTCTCTCTCTCTCTCTCTCTCTCTCTCTCTCTCTCTCTCTCTCTCTCTCTCCCCCTCTCTCTCTCTCTCTCTCTCTCTCTCCCTCTCTCTCTCTCTCTCTCTCTCTCTCTCTCTCCTTCTCTCTTCGTGGTATGTGTGTGTGTGTGTATGATATTTGAGCGTTAACGATAATTACCTCATACTCACACATTCGCCGTGTCTTTTTGGTAAGAACAACACGAGGGAGATTATTCTCGGCGTCGAAAAGGAGGCGCAATTTCAGCGAGACTGTCCTCTTTAATTCCTTCGACGCTGCCGCGGAATCGCAAGAGAGCAGAGCGAGCGTTTGACTCACAAGCCGTACGCCGGATTCTTAATTCACACGAGTGTATACGTTGCGATAAATCACGAGCGAATTCGTTCCAGCGAGACGGCGAAGCACATCCTCGAATGAAAATATTCACTCGGCGGTTTGTTGGAATGGAGAAATTCGTTCTGCGTGAGTCAAGAGGCTCTCTCGAATTTGCGCGTCTCGGCTGGCAGCCTACTTTTCGAGAATGAAATTTCAAGAAACTTCGAAAGAGAGAGAGAGAGAGAGAGAGAGAGAGAGAGAGCGCTGTATAAGACGTTACGTTATTTTAAAAGCCGCTGGACACGCGAGCGAATTGTACATCTTCTGGCGCTGGAGCTCGTTCGGCATTTTGCATACCGTTGCATAACTAAGTCCAATTATACCGCATCCTTCCGAAATGAGCTCAGCCCGCGGACTCCAGCCACTTGCGAAAGCTCGAATGGCGGCTTCCTAAATTACATCCCGCAGCTTGCGATGATTCATCGCTCCTAAACGCGAACGGGCGTGGGATATCGACTCCGTTCTGTTTAATGTCTCGTCAAACAAACCGAGATACGCAGCCGCCGAAAATCCCCCGCTGTTACAAATGAGATGATCCTTCAACGAAGTAGCCTACATTACGAGACAGCGAGAAAATGAAAAAGAAAAAAAAAATCCGCTCAAAAGAGAAAATATGAGAAACCGCTCCTTTTTTCGCGAGGCACTCCGAGGAATTATTATGATCTAAATAAATAAATAAATCGCCTTTCCGTGCTACGTTCTTCGTCCATGTGTGTATGTGTGTGTACGTCTTGCAGTCGATTCGAAATCGGATATTTTTTACCCACTGTCAGCAAAAAGGTAAAAAAGACTGAAGCCGCTCTCCTCCTCGAGGGAGTGTTTTCGGCGCAGCTGAATTGAAACGAGAGATGCCGCTTCGGCGAAATGTAATACGATAAAGCAAATGTTTGTTAAAGGCGCAAGGGGGAGGCATCAGATACGACGTTCCCAGAAGAGCGATGTTGATTGGCGGCGGGCACGGCAGGCCAATGAAAATACGCCGGCGAGAAATTATGAGCGCGCGCGCGCCATCGCGATCGTAATTATTCCCCACCGTTCTTCCCGTTCCCGCAATATCGGCCGACGTTCGAACGCCGTGAAGTTTGCCGCGACAACAACGCTCCGCGCTGACGAACGCGCGCGCGCGGCCTTTCAATTTTCGGCGAGCGCGAGCGAGAAAAGTGGGTCGAAAGCGGCGGAAGCGCCGCGCCGTGCAGGAAGAGCGAACTTTCGGCCGGGGAGGACGAGTTATAAAATGCAATTAGGTCGCATTACGCGGTCGTATGACGTGGCGAGAGTGAAATTTAATTAAGACAACCGAACTGGTTCCGTCGCGGCGAGCTTGCGACGGCCACGGTGCAGCGGTGAACCGAGGAGGAATGGCGAGAGTGCGTCGGGGAGGTCCGACTATACATCGCGCGCGTGTGCACGGAGACGCGAGAATAAAATTACATCGATCGACGCTGCGCGCGGGAAGCCCGATTAGAGCTTAGAGGAATTAGACGCGGGCCGAGCGAACGCTCGCGCTCGCGCGCGCGCGCGCGATGGAAGGAAACGAATGAACGAGCGGCGTTTCTCGCGCGGTGGACGCGCGCGATGGATTGCGACAGCCGCAAACAGTTCGGTAATGTCGGCGTCGGTGTGGGACGAAATGAAAGTGGATTTAAACAAAACCGAACGCCGCGCTGGCGTGCGACGTGGGACGATAATGGAGGTGACACGGCGAGGTGAGGCGAGGCGAGGCGAGGCGACGCGACGAGTCGAGCGGAATCGCGCCGACTACTCGCGCTAATCGCGGCGAGTCGATTATTAGAAGGACGCGGCGCGGCCAAAGGGCACCTTTGCCCGTGGAAAATCGAAGGAAGTAGTTCGCTAGCCGGCAAGGAGACGCGTGGTCTTCGCTGGGTTGCTTTCCGACACGGTCGCGAGCCCGCGCGCGTTGCAGGTGGACGGGTGCGGATTAGAAAGTAGAATTCGATTTCGCCTGGACTTGATCTTGATTACTTGGATCTTGGCCTCGCCGGCCGAAATTTTGTCGAATTTCTTCGATCATTAACACGCGCGACCCACCTGCGACATTCTCGAGCAGGAATCCAATCAGGTGTCGCGGATTGACGGACTGCGGATTAGAAAGTACAATCCGGCTTGGCCTGGACTTGAATTTTAATAGCCTGGACTTCGCCTCGTTTTGCCCACCGACTGATCGAGTTTCAGTCTTCCGATACTTGAAATGACGCAGGCTCAAAGAGTACACGGCAGCGATAACGACAACAACGACGATCGTGCGCTCGCGTGTTGTCACGTTGGCGTAAATTCGAAAGAATGGGAAAGAATGTGACGCAAGAAGAGCGGATACAATAAACACGATAGTTATCGGTATTACCGAAGCGGTAAATACTAAGTAAAGTATACTGAGGACCAAGCTATAATTCGTACGTAAACGGTTCGAGAGGCAAGTCAGTGTCGACGAAAAATGTCACTTGAAAATTAATCACGGTGTGCGCGTCATTATCACGTCGATACACCGGCGAACAAGAACGTCGTTAAAAGTTTGACAAGTAGCTTTGCGAGCTACTTAGGACCTCTCTATATTTATACGCTTCTATACGACGCGCGCCCCGACAACTTGTTGCTCTCTCGGGTACTTCAGCTCGGAACACACAGACCGACGTCTGTCCGGTACTCTGCGAGACTCACCTGACGCTGGACGCGCTTCTCTGAATGTCCACGTTGTTCCTCCTGGCGGCTTCCTCGAAAGTAACCACCTCCTGGCGTCTCCTCTCCTCCTCGGGTGGGTGCAATGGTATGATGATGTAGTCCGGCTCCTTCTTCTTGGTCGTCGCGGCCGGCTGCTGCTCTTCGCTCGCCCTCGGCTCGGTGATTTTCTTCTGCGCTTCCGAACGCGGAACCTTCGTCCTGCCGCTGAATCGCAGCTTGGAGAACCTCTGTAGGAAGCCACCCAGGCCGCCCTTCTTCCTCTCCTCGCTCTTCATGGCCCCGGACGAGGATGACGACAGCAACGATAACGGTAACGACGGTAACGAAGACGAGGATGAAGCGGTGGCCTCGTACTTGTTGTGCTCCTTCTTCTTCGGGGTAGCGACGACGAACGGCCGCTTCGCGATTACGGCCGCGTCCTCGTTGCTCGACGCGCGCTCCTCGTGACGTTTGTCGCGATCACCACGATGATTCGTATCAACTGCCACGGCCACCGTCGGTTTCCCACTACGTTCGCCAAGTCTCGTTCGGCCGCCGGGTGGGGACGAGCCAACACCGTGAACACTGTGTCCCTCTTTCTCCACCTCCTCTTCCTTCTTTTCCACCACCTCCACCCCGTCCCTCGCTCCCTCCTCTCGCTCGTGCTCCTCTACCTCCTGCTGCCTCGCCGCTTGTTTCTCGATCACGACCCTCCACAGACGTTCGCCGGCACTTCGACCGCTCGAACCAGGACTCGGGGAACGTTCCTCGCGAGGATCGTCCGACTGCTTGTTCCGCGACTCCTCCCGCTGTCGACGCTCCTCGCTCTCGTCCTCTTGGTGACGAGGTAGCTGCGCCGCTCGCTCCGGGCAAGACTCACCACCGATCAGACTCTCCTCCATCGTGACTTCTCCGGGCTCCCCTTCGCGGCTCACGGGGTGCTCGTTCTCCTCGTGCGCAGCGGGTACCACCGCGGGATTCTCAAGAACATTCTTCTCCGACTCGACCCTCTCTCGCAGGACGACTCCCTTCAAGTAGGACGCTCCTATGGGTTTGGTTTCCAAGCAGGGGTAATCTACCTCGTCGTCTACCAGGCGCGAGCGCGCGCTAACATCGCCACAGGCTGAAAATGGATCCGAGTTTTTTTTTATCTGACCAAAGAGCGAGTCGTCCTGGTCGCTGATCGTACGGGAGGATGCATTGTTGTAGCTCTCCGCGGGCCTATAGTACGAGTTCTCGCTGATGTTGCTGCCGGAGTCCATCTGGCGCATCACGTCGGCGATCTTCAAACCCGAAGAACGGCCGGATGAGGACGCCTCCTCCAGCTCGTCGCAGGCGTCCATTCGATGAAACGCGGCCCTGTTGCTCTGCATCGCTTTCACGTAGTCGCACTGCTGCGCCAATTCGTAGCTGGCGTTGTTCAACACATGTTTCTTGCCGGGTGAACCGACTCGGTTCGCCTCCTCATCGCTGTTCTCCTTGCCGCGAATATGAAAATTCCGCTCGTCCACCTCGAATTGCTGCGCCAATTCGTAGCTGGCGTTGTTCTTCACTCTGCGGCTCCTCACGCGCCCGGACGGTGTCCGCTGGATCGTCTCCATCGCCAAAATGGCGGCGTTCGCCACTCCGGAGGCCGCGGCCTCCTCCACCTCGCGCTTGAACTGCTTGATGGCCTCGTCGATGTCGTTCTCCGTCATCATCGTTATGTCCAGCATGCAATTGGCGTGATCCTGTGTCTTCACGGTCGACGTTGTCTTGGGCTGCTTGCGTGGTTGCCGTTCGCAGTGGTCCTCGACGCACTCGACGGCAACCTTCGAGCGCACTTCGCTGCTCTTCTTCTCTTCAAGAATCTCCGCACCGCCGTCGCCCATGAGCGCGCTTTGTGCCGGCTGAGTCCTCACCGAGCTGGTCAATGTGACCTTGCCCGATGACGTTCCTCCTCCTGGTGCCTCGTTGTTCTCCATCGAGCCGCTCGCTTCGTCCTCGTCCTCGTCCTCGTCCTCCTCCTCCTCCTCCTCCTCCTCCTCCTCCTCCTCGGCAGCCTTCGCGCTGTTCTTCTCTTGATCGGCGGGCGCGGTCTCCGCCATTTCGTGGCCGTTCATCTGCTCGTCACGACGTTCGTCGCAGGCGACGACGCCGCAGAGATTCAGGTCCACCGGCACGCTCGCTACCCGCGTGTAATTCTCGAAAAGGCTCGACGTCGACACGTAGGAGGTCGTCCTCGAGGTGCGACGAGCCGCGCAGCCGTTCAGCCGTGCTGACTCCTCGATGTTGTCGAGCAGACTGGGCGCGCTCTGCGACTTGTCCGTGAATCTAAAATTAAAGCGCTCCTCGTCGCTCCACCCTTGGTACTGCTGCTGTTGTTGGCGGCGGCGGCGGCGGTGGTGGTGGTGGTGGTGGTGGTGGTGATGATGGTGATCGTGTTGGTCGTTCTGTTGCTGATGTTGGTGTTGGAACTGCTGCTGCTGCTGCTGCTGCTGTTGTTGCTGCGAATGCTGATGATGATGATGATGATGATGGTGATGATGATGGTGTTCTGTGCCGTCGCTACCAGCACCAGTGCCGCCACCGCCGCCGCCGTTGCCACAGCCGCCGCCAGCGACGGCTATATTTAACCTGGCGGTCTTCTGCCCGGACTTGAGCTCCAAAAGCGTGTCTCTCTTCGTCTCCACACCGATCTCCCGCAGGTCTATCGTGTTCCGGTAATCCAAGGACGTCGCGTACTTGCCGGACTCACCGAACAGCAGCAGACGGTCCTCGAAGTCGCTCGTTACTCGAGGCTCATTCGCGCCCCGGTCGCACTCCTCGAACTCGTCCTCGTCATCCTCCTCGTCGTCGTCTTCTTCGTCCTCGTAATCGTCCTCGTGCCAGAAGTCTCTGTTTCGTAGGGACGGTGAGAATATTGACGCGGAGGTGCGTGATTTTGTTTATCTTTTACGTGTCTCTGAGACGCGCTCGCGTTGAGGGTTGGGAAGGAAGTGACGATTCAAGAACGACATTCTGACGATTATAATGTCGACGGTAAAAGTCAAGGTGGTCTCGCTCAGGGTCACGATTGCATTTAACTTGGCGGTAAAACGATCGTCACGCGGCAGGCAGTCGGCACGCGGCTTGCCAAGAGAACCGAAACGCTCGACACCCGGCTTCTTTGCGCGGACGCAAATACATTGTTTAACCCCTTCGCGTATGCAAGCCGAGACCGGGAGGAGATCGAGGAGGTAACGAAAACATTTCGCGACTATGCACCGAATTATGCATGAGAGAAAGTGGCTGGGCGAAGGAGAGGGAAATTAGTTCTATTTATACGCGATCAGACCGGAAATAAAAGCAACTCTCGAGACGAGATCAAGTCGCTACTGAGAAGCAAATTTATCTTAACCATCATCCGCAGCTTGAAGCATGGGAAGAATATCAAACTGCCTCTTGTCAAGATGCACAAGTGAAAATCGGCAAAAGTGATGGTGGAAACGATACTGCTTGTCCGGCGAAGGAAAGTGGGCGAGGTATCTCTAAGGTGTTTCTAACTAACGCGACACACACACACACGATGCACTTACCGTTAGTCCCCGCAGACTGCTAATTCGAGAAATAATTCGTGATTACAATAGTCGAGAGTGCCGATTCTAATGAGGAGGCGCGTAAAAATAGGCTGGTGTTAATGCGCGCGTGCCAAGAATAACAAACAGAAGCCGCCCGCGCGGCTTCCGCTAGATGACTGCAACGCAGGTGCTGCGTAACGTTCCGGGGAAAAAAACAGAAAAAAAAACGGACGCATACGATGTCGTCGTCGTCGGTAGCGTAAAATAATACGCGCAGTGTTATCTCTCCTGTGCTTACTGTGTTTGCAAATCTAATTTGAAAAGTAAATACGTATTATGATATACATCTTCATCTTGTTACTAAAGTTCAAGACCGCTTCTTCGTCGACCTTTTCGCGAAATAACGACGACCAATAATAATATCGCAAATTAAAGAATACAGCGAATGGAATAAATGCGTAAAAAAGAAGAAAGGAAAAAGAAAAAAAATTAATATACGAAAAGAAGAAATTCCTACCTTGGACGCTGACTATTCCTGCCGATGTTCGACAGGTCGGCACCCCTCTTCAGGTACAAAGGTGCGAAACCATTCGACATGGTAGCTTGACCGAAGCTATCGTCCTTCTGACACGTGTCGAGGCTCTCGAAGCTACGATAAGGCCTGATCCTGGGAAAATGGCCCGACAGGTTGCTGGCGAAGCCGTTCGGCAGCAGCCTGTCGTAGTCCTGTTCCAGGCTGTCGGGCGAGTCGTTTTCTGGATGCGAGGTGTTCGACCTGTTGGAGTATTCCAGCGAGTCGAAGCTGTAGCTGGACGGCGACAGGGTGGCGCAAGTCCTCTCCAGCGACTCGAACTGCAGCAACGAGCTCGACCTGGAGGAAGCGGTGGACCTGGAGGACCTCGGCGACGCTGGAAACTCGTCGTAGGTCACCTGATGGTGTTGCTGGTGATCGGTGCCGTGGTGGTCCCGGCGACGTCGCTTTTTAGGCACCACCGAGTTGCACTCGCTGCCGCTGCCATCCAGGCGTTCATCTTCCGGGAACGTCAACGAGACGTGATGAGGACGATGGCGACGATGACGACGACGACGATGATAATGACGAAGACGAGAGACACGCGAAGAGAACTCGAGAGAGTAAAAGCGAGACGAGCGCGAGCGAGTGTGGCCTAAACCTACTTTATGAAATCCAGAGCACGCACACGTTTGTTTTTAATTCCGCCAGTCTCGTCAGGACGAATAGAGAAAGAGTGAGAGAGAACGAGAGGGGGAGGGAGGGGGAAGAGAAGCCCGGTCGTTTAACGTCCCACTTCGTAAAATCGAGTCGCGGAAGTCACTCGAACGCTCCAATCACGGTCGTCACTTTCGCCCCGTCGGGCTTCCGTCAGGAAGCCACGGTTCATTCAACCGGAAGCGACGTTTAGCACCGTCGCCCGTCGACTCCGTCATCGTCGTGTATCATGCGCGTTGATCGACCGTGTATCGATTATTGCCGATTCAGCCGTCAAGCCCGCGTGACGTGCGTCGAGAACGCGCTCGTCACAATTTCCATATCGCGGAAATTTTTATATCTCCCCCTCCCCCCGCCCTCCAATCTATGTCAAAGAGAAGAACAAATAGGTTGTGAAGTGTGCGCATAAATGTTAGAAATATTTAAAGGGAGAATATCGGCGATCGACGAAAAATCGTGTGCGCGTGCGTTGGAAAATCCGCGAAACGCGAAAGAGGCAGGCAGAAATTTGCTCGTTATTTTAGATTAACGTTCCGCTCGAAATCTATTCGTCTACTTTTGACTTTATCGTCGACTTCATCTGCCTTTCGCGAGAGCGCTCTCTCGCTGAGCTGCGATATATCCTCACACACACACACACACACGCACACCGAGGCATCCGTTATATAAAAAGAGAAAGTGCAGCGCGCCTGCAACGCTGCAACCACGTGCAGCTGACTGTTACGACGGTTACGTGCTCGAAGGTGCGTTTAAAAAGCACGTGGGTGGAGTTTAAAGAACCCGTGTTGCGCCTTGTTCTTTCGTCACAGGAATCCACGATCTCGCGGATTTTTCGCGGCTCCGCAGATCTGCGAGTGGAATTTCCGCCGCGGAACTTTCCAACCGATATTATAAAGTCGCAATTTAGCTCCGACTTTAGTTGCGTCATACGATCCAGATTCCGTTTTCTTTTCTTTTACGCGGCAAGTTTGCCGATTTGATAGTCGCCATCGCGATCGCGACCGCGCTCGCGACGCCGATGGCGAAAGCGCGACAAAATCGTGACGAATAATAGTCGCAAGCGCGACGATTACGGTTACGGACTTGTCTCGGAATCTAATGGGCCGGAAGATTAGGTCGCCGAGAGGAAAGAGAAAGTGGAACGGCCGACCGCGCGAACAATGTCTGCTCCCGCGATCTTCGCCCCGGGTGACGAACGAGGTTGCACAAGATCGTCTTCGGCAGGCGGCCGTCCCGTCTCCATCGATCGAGCGCTCAAGGATTATAAAACGCGCTTACCCGCGGATCTCTGCTTCGCCCTGATGTGGATCACACTCTCGGTCTCCGAGTCAGACCCCAGCCAGTAAGTCGTCCCGCTGCGATCGGAGTCGCTCTGCAGATCGTCGGACGTCTCCTCGAGAATAGTCTCCAGGAAGTCCACTTGTTGCACCAACACCGTATCTGAAACATATTGGAATCGTCTTCAAGATCAACGATTGTCCTCGCGACACTCTGTAACTCGCTGAAATATTTAAGGCCGCGGGAGAAGGGTAATATATCGCGTGCAACAAGAGCGGGACTGGTAACATTTATATATTACCATGTATAAAATTAAGTTATATATTAAAAATGTATATTAAAAATGATGACAAATATTTTGACCGAATATAATACACTATACTATATATCGAGAATATTCACACCGAAACATAAATTTGTACATCGCAATGACTATAATGGAGAGTCTGTTCGGATATCTTTTTGACTCGACAACCACAAAAATTTACACATATAAAATAATGTTTCCCACAACACCTTCAAATGTTTTGAATAATACGAGTGTATTCTAGTCGCACAAGTTAGCATGGTACTTGCTCAGCACGTACACGTGCCGATTTGTGTTTGAAAAATTCTCCACAGGACTCCTCCTCCTCTCCTCGAACTTCCTCGGCCGACTGACAAGAATCCATATTCGATTCCACAGGAGTGGATTCCTGCAATTTTCACTCAACGTCGCCTCGCCGCGCCGCGCCGGCGGGAATTACGCCTTAGTTTCACGCATCGCTCATGTTCTCCGCGCGAGCGTGCACGTCACTTTGTCGCCTCGTCGTCTGTAAAATTCGCGCGCAACGAAGCGTATAATGTAAACTTGTTCGTGCCGCCGTTTGTATCGCGTCGAAAGCGCGGCCAGCTGCTCGCAGAGCCCGAGCGAAATTCTTAACGAGAGCTAGTGACTCACTCGTTATCGTTCGACTTTATGCGAGTACAACCATTATTACGTCGGAAGATAACGCAAGTGGAAGGTCGTCCACCTCTCCGGCCGAGCTTTCCCGCCATCTCTCGAAGCCGGTTCGAGATCTTTTGGAACGCTCGTTTCGACATAAACATCGTCGCCGAGAATTTTTCCCCTCCAAATTCGAACAAGTCGATTTGCCCTTAAAGCTTTAACAAAGATCATTTCTGCGTGCGACTCTCACCATCGAACTACAGCGTGTCATCCCTCTTAACTTGCACCGAAATCAATTTCCCGCAATTAACATCCCTATTCAACTTCGAGTTCGATCGCGCATGCCTTCCGCCTGAAGAAAAGTCATCGCGGCAAAAATGAGCGCGAGTGCAATGGGTTAATCGTCGAGATCTCGGCGAGATGCCGACGAGGAGACAAGAGCGCAGCGGGAACGCGCGGCATCTCCTTCGTACGTTCCTGCCTTCCTCGTCATCGCGCTATGAATGATGGCGTGAACAGTTAGCCGCTGGGAACGGGTCGCTGCATAGTTGCACGGCTCAGCGCTAGAATGCATTCGATGTAGCATTCTAAAACCGCGACTACACCCGACTCTCCCCCGTGGAAAAGTCAAACGCTATCTTATCCTTTCATCTTATTGGAATAGTTGCATAATGCACGGCACGGTAACATTTGCGTCGCGCGTCGTTTCCCGCCGCGATGTGTAGCGCAACTCGCGGTTAGAGGCAGAAAGACCAATTAATGCCAAATTATACCGGAATCGATCGTCATTCGCCGCTAAGCCGCCGATCGATTTAACAACGCACGGAGATCAAAGCGTCTCGCGCGCGTAATTTTCCACCGCCGATAACGCTATCGAACTAAACCTCGCACATCTGCATCGACATTGAAAGCGGCGATCGTCGAGCCCTCGAAGCGCGACGAGCGGCCCGCGTAAGTAAGTGTGAGAATTAATGAATGAAGTGGGGAAAGGTTGAAGCCGCACTCGCGCGCGAGTATTTCCTTCCGAGTATTTCTTACTACACGAGCGTCGATATTTTATCTCGTCAGAGCGCTCCCGGTTACGTAACATGCTCGCCGCGGCCTGAGTCGCCGCGCCGGGTCGCGCGATTTTACATGTGAATGAAAAAAATACAAATATCGGCCAAAGAGCTACAAGGAGCTTCGATAAAACCCCAGCATGAATTAAAACTCACGAGCGATCTTGAGTCGCTCGACTCGACGTGTCCTATCGTATCAATGATTACATTCGGATGACCAACACGTCGATCACGTGCGTTTTGCTTGAAGGAAACGGGACGCCTGATCCTCGGAGCTGAATCTGGCTCATGAGAAGGCAGAAGTTTCCTTCCCAGCCAAGACGCGTCTTTGTTTCGTCCACTGTCACGCCGACTCGACCGATCTTTTTTTTTTCTCCGCGCAGCAAGCCTGATCCGGTCGACTTGAGGACTTCATCGAAGCTCGGCGTGCTCGAGGTCGGTGAGAAAAAAACGTCGCAGCGAATCGCGTTGTGAATCCGCGACACGACACGCCGCGCCGTCGGAGCGTCCGCGCGCTCTGAATCATCGATCGACCGATCAGCTAATCCGAATAATTACGGAGCCGGTTCGTGCGACGCAACGCAGAATGCGTGGATGCGCTCGATTCTCGCCGCCACGCCTTGCGGTCGTCGGAAAAGTCGGGGCTGTGAGGAAAAACACCGCGCGTTACGCGGCCGCGTGCGCGATTTTCATCCGACGAGCGAATCGAGACCGAGAATCGCGAGAATCGGCAAGGAACTAAATCCACACCTGGACGACCGTTCGTTGCCGATATGATAACGCGCGCGCGCGCGCGCGCACGCGATACACTTTCTTCGCCGCGATGAATTTCGAGTGCGCGAGAAGGTCGGCTAAGTGACGCTATCGATATTCCATTAAATGGTAGCTCTCTCTCTCTCTCTCTCTCTCTCCCTCCCTCCCTCTCTCGAAACACGAGACACCGTACACCTCGTGGCGATGTTGCGCGAGCGGGTCGTGCAGTTGAAGTGCAATTTGTCTTGCACGAGTGCGAAGGCACGCACCACTGTGCAACATCATGGCGGGGCCCACCTGTTGCAGTCGCCTGTTGCCGTTCCGTGACTAACGGACGGGAATAAACCCGCCGGCTTACATAAAAATAATCGGCCGGCCTAGCGTCTTTCTTTCGAGGCCTTCCAGCGGATATGGCGATAGCCGTGTGGAGTAAGTTGCAACTCACAGGCGATAGGCAGAGCAGGTCGGCGACGACGCGTCTTATCTCTGCCGTGAGATTTTCCAGCTTCTCCCACCGCCTTTCGTTTTCTACTTCTCTATCCCGGTTTCTCTCAGGCGTCGTCGAGAAAACCCGAATGACTGATCTCGATCCAGCGACTTTCCACTCATCCAAGAAAAGAATAATAAAAATAAAGACATGGCCGATGCAGGTTCAAACGCGGGAGCGAAACACTCTCGACGTTTAACGATTCAAGCGCCCGCGCATCGTGAACGATCACCGACCGAAACATTCACACATGTCCAGCTCTTGGCTCTTACTCGCTTCAATTAGGTCCGACGATCGTGCATCGCGCGGCCTTCTCTCTCGGTCCTAATCTAAAATTAATCGTAAGCTTGTGGACACGGCGCGCACCGCGCAGCGGAGTGTTTCATCGTCGAATAATATTTCATGGTATACTAATTTCGAGAGCGTTGCACACTTCAATTTCTATCTTGGACGCGAGAAGCTTTCTTTATCCCGAACCGGTCTCGCGCGCAGCGAATGATATAAACGAAACAGAGCGGATAACTTTTCTCGCGCGCACCGTCCGACCGACCAACCAACCAACCGACCGATCCGACTCGACTCGACTCGCTCACTCTCCATTTCTTACCGCGGGCGCTCTCGTTAGTCGCTCGCTAATCGACCCACGTTAATTCACGCGCCGTGAAACTCTCGCAGCCGCTCTTGCATCGTGTATCGATTAGTCTCTGTTACTACGTTCCGATCCGGCTCGTCGATCGAATCGCAGAGCGACCGACAGCATCGCTCAAAATTCGCCTCTCGGGGGGAAAACTTTCCTCGAGGCTGACGAGAAACGAAAAAAAGAAAAGGAAGAAAAAAGGAAAGCCGCAGAGATCACAGATCGTTTCGAGAGAGACAAGCGCGAGGAAAATCTCGTTCTCGATTGATGTTGTTGATGTTGTTGATGTTGTTGTTGTTGTTGTTGTTGTTGTTGTTGTTGTTGTTATCGAACCCCGGAATTCCTCTGACCAATTCCACGCGATAGCAATTTCAATGATCTCAGCCGACGGCGGCTGAACCAGCCGAGATAACCGGTTGATATTGATTGCGCATTATATCAGATGGGAAATTACATTATTTCCAACAACTTCCCGGAGCTCCTCCTCACCACGCCTAGGCTCCTCGTCTACGCTCTAGATATCGGCGAGGCTGATATCATTACCGCGATTTCCAGCGGGTAGAAAACGGGGCGGCTTTGCATACAGATCGCCCGTTAATCGTCGGCCTTAATGCGGGCTGCTTTCTACTGAACGTGGGCGGAAGAGACGCTGGAAAAACCGCGAGCGAGCAAGACGCGCGTCCTCGGCGTTTTCCGTAAACGCCCGCGGCGCTCCGCAACGTAATTTTACCGTCGCACTACGCATCGACGGCGATTTCGATTAAAACCTGATAAACGAGTCATAATCTCGTATATTTTATATCAACACGTCGCCGACCGCCTGTTATTAGCAACGGTACCAATCTCCGTTTCCAATATATGTTTTCCGAAAACATCTAAATAATTTGATCTAAATAAATCGGATGACTTAATTTTCATCCAGTTTATCAAGATCGAGCTTGACACAGGCTGTTCTGAAGGTTGCGCAAACATTTTTTTTTTAATATAATACAACTGTGCAACAATGATCGTTATTGGACACAAGCGTAATAATCAATTTAGTGAAACGTGTGTTTGTTCAAACACAAGTTAACTTGGTCAACAACGTGTTGATAAATAAGATCTAATTACCATGACAGTGCTTTATTATAGTTTACTGCACGCAGTCCGCAAGAAACAGTTAAATACGTTTTAAACATGGCATCATATTTGTCCTTTATATGGACCAAGTTAAACTCAAATAAAAATCAAATATTAAATTAAAAAGTAATTTGATTCAAATATGTTCTTAATACAATCATCCAAACGTAAATATGATCCTGCTATTAGAATAACTTTGTCCGGCTGCATATAAATCGTATTAATACTTAATAAGCTTCTAACCAAAGCTGAGTCTAAATCTGATTTTATTACATTCGAAACAAATCAGATTTTAATTAACACTTAACTTGGCTTTCATTCGAGTTTAACTTGCTCCGTATAAAAGGCAAATGATGCTATATTTAAAACACATTTAACTGTTTTACAGTTTAAGATTTCGGGCGAACAGCGAATACGCGTTTCCACTGCCGTGCTAAACGCCCGCAGTTTCGGGCTGAGGAGGTTAATCGCTTAACATGACGAGCGCAGAACAACGACCCAGATCGTCGCGATCGCGGCTGGATTTGCGTCGAAGAGCGATCTAACAGTATTCTCGGGCTGTTGTTGTTTCACGCCCGCTGCCGCCGCGGCGGATATTCACACACGATAGAGGAAGAGAGAAGGAGGTAGAACGAATCGTGTTTTTCCGCATTCAAGACTTCCCCAAGACATTGTTTCCGCTTGCCGAGGCAAACTACGGGGTAATCACGGAAATGACGACGGCACGTAAAGCGCAAAGCGGTTTTGCATCGTGATAAATATTATTATATGTACATAAATCGACCGATCTCTCAGTACGAACGCGAAGCGTAACTTAATGTAACGTCGACGCGAGGATCGACTCGTCGACGTTACATTAAGTTGCGAGCGGTCGCGCCGGGCTTTACTCGGATAATTCTCCAAACACTCCACTTCTCCAGTATCATCAAGCACCTGCGGCTTCTGTCTGGCGTGTCGACGCGAACATCGCGCGTGTCGGACGTTAGACGCGAGAGCGTTTGGACGTCAGCGTTCCCTCCCTCCCTCCTTCTCTCCTTCGCCCTCACTCCAGAGAGCACACGTGTGTGCGCGAGGTGAAAAATAAAAAAAGATAACCGGAAGAGAGAAAGAGGGATCTCGGGTACGAACCATTAGCCCGTAGATCCTCCAAGTGCGTCGGTTGGAAGTGGGAGTGATGCTGCAGCTGGAAGCCATAGGCCGGAAGCCAGGGATTCGGCCCGTTCACCAGATCCATGTCGGCGGACTCGCAGTCTGAGGTCAAGGCTGGATCTTCCTCCTCGTCATCGGTAGCGGCGACGCTCGCCGACGCCGACGTCGTCGTGAGCGCCGCCGTCACGCTCGAATCGTTGCCGCTCATCGCGACGCGCCGCCGATCGCGATGACGCCTCTTCGCGTCCACCAGCACCGGCACCGACGATCGTTAACCGCTCCGACGAACTGTGAACCCCCTTTCCGCCTCTCCCTCATATCGAGAGAGCCGTACCGGAAGCCAAGCCGTTTCTTTCCGGCCGGGACGGACGAGACAGAAAAAGAGGAGAGAGAGAGAGAGAGAGAGAGAGAGAGAGAGAGAGAGAGAGAGAGAGAGAGGGGGAGAGAGAGAGAGAGAGGGAGAGAGAGAGAGAGAGAGAGAGAAAAGATGAACTGCAACGGCTGCTGCGACGTTAGATTCGGCGCGATTCCATCGGCCAGGTCCGGATCCGGACGTTGTCGAATTATCTTCCCCCGTCGGACAGACTCCCGCGGCAGCTGCAATGTAATAAACATAACCCGATTAGTTAGGTGAGTGGGTAAAGGGGAGCGTGTAATAATATTCCTTGATATTTCAGGATCACATGCCCCCTTCGAGAGGGGGAAGAGGCTTTACTCGCTGAGGTGGTATGGCTCTTTGAGTTTCACGACTGTCCGACTGTCCGAATACGGACTGCTTCGTCGCGGAAAAAAGCGCTCCTTCACGCGGAAAGCGTCGCACCGTCATCGCGTTGATGACTGATTCTCTCCAGGTGAGAGACATTAAGAGACTCTCGCATCTAGAAGCGCCCTTAAATTTTACCGTCTCTCCGTCCTCGAGTTCTCAGAATTCGAGAGAGGTCGTTCGAAGCGTCGGAGGACGCTGTCGCATCTTTCTTCACATTCTACATCCTCGACTTCCTTGAACTCTCTGAGACTGCGAGAGAGAGAGAGAGAGAGAGAGAGAGAGAGAGAGAGAGAGAGAGAGAGACTCAAACTTTCCCCGTTGGCATTCTCCGGCCGGAGCGCGATATGAACGAGCAGGAATTCGCGGTGGAATCCGTTCGCGATTCACATCGCGGACTGCGGGGAGGAAGATCGGCCGCAGGGCTGAGTGCTCCTCCGGCGAATCCTCCTTCTCCTTCGGCCGAAGATGCGGCTGAGATACGGGACCTGTATCGCGATCTCGGGGTCCTTAACAAGCGCGTTTACCCCAGGCGGGGTGTTAAATATCGCTACGAACCGCGGATTTACATGACGCACCGGCCACGGAGAATCCTCTCTCGCGTGCGCGTGCAGGTGGGAGAGTTACGTTTGTGTAATTGGATAAAGATCGGCTCAGGTCGTCGCCCTTCTCTTCTCTGCCGCTTCCCCTGCCGCCTACGACTATTCTCTCTCTCTCTCTCTCTCTCTCTCTCTCTCTCTCTCTCTCTCTCTCTCTCTCTCTCTGCTGGTTTCTCTACGCGCGACTCTGCGAGAGCGGAGGAAATTTTATTACCGTCGTATTTCTTTCGGCAGGCAGACCGAGCAACTTAAGCCCGATGTACACGGTATGCTGTCGACGATTTTCGCGGATAAATCGAGCGGATAAATCAGAAAAGGAAGCTGTGAGGGAAGAACTGCTGAATAAGGATCGAAAGCTCATGCACCGATGTCGTAATGCTCAGACATGAGAGATGATTGCGGTCGACGGTGAAACGTCGTCGGATAAGAATTTTCGTGGTCGGGACGATGATGATCGTCGTAAAATACGCGAGAGAGAGAGAGAGAGAGAGAGAGAGAGAGAGAGAGAGAGAGAGAGAGAGAGAGAGAAGCCGACAACCGAACTCTCTTTCTGCCTTCACGTCGTCGCGAATGTCTCTCGGCTAGACAATCTCGCGGCGAGGTAATCGCGCCTATGGCCATTCACAGGACGCGCTTCGACGATGTGTCCTTGGGCAATTATTTCCAAAGCGGCACAGAAAGTGCTGCGATAGCAAAGAGAACCGGAAAAGCATTCGCGTTCACCGGCAAAGAGCACAGTGATCGCATGACTCACTTTGTGTTACGCGCGCTCGCAACGTCACGACTTACGTTACTTTTCCACGACCGGCCGCGGGAGCATTTCGACGAGCGAGCACGGGAATTAATGGATTTTGTACCTTACGGAAGATCGGTGTCCGGGATTAACGGGACCTCCTGCCTCGATTCCCGCGCGTCTGAGCAACGGCCATTTTATTGACACGATTACATCGAGATCGAGATGAGACACCGGCTTCGTTAGAAAGCGCGATAAGTATCGATCGCCTATCGATCTGTCCTGCCTTCGTCGCTGGCGACAAGTCGCTAAGCACCGAACTGCACCTCGCGCGCTCTCGGCGTTGCGCTCTCTCCTTACACATCACCGCGTATTTACAATACGTCCGACACTGCGTGTGCGGACACTTTCACTTTACATAATATCTTTTTCTATCGCGCTCGTCGAGCGACAAGGTTGGATGCTGAATCTCCGCATTTCAAGATGCTCTACGTACTTTGAAAATTCGTATTTTCAGGGAGACTCGGCGGAGGGACGTTCTCCGAAACTTACCTCAAGTTTCTCCGAGTCCCGCCGCGATGACTCGCATATACGTCATAATTCGTGTCGGTATCCTCGTAATTTCGTATCGTGCGTAACGCGAGAAACATACTTGCAGATTCACATGTAAAGCGTCTTTTGCGAATAAAGATGTCTGCATCGAACTCGGATTTTAAAGTTCTCAAGTTGGCTTCGCATCAAGGACCAATCGCTCGGAGGAGGGCCGACTCACGTGAAAAAATTTGAATACACGAATCGCAGTAGAGAATTCCAAGACGATAATCTTTCTTACGATTCTCAATTGTTAAATGGTCGGTCGATCTAATATTGAAGCCGAGGAAACAAATACATAAATCAAGAATCCGAATTCCGCTGAGGGCTTTAAGAAAACCCGAGACGTCGAGCGAGACTTAGGGCCGTATTCGTAGTCGAATCTTATATTTAAGACCGTCTTGAGTTCACGTTCAGATATTCTGTAGCCAATGAAATGATCTATACTGCATCTGATGATGAACTTAAAACGACCTTAAATATAAGACCGGACTATGAATACGGCCCTAAATCGTAGAATTCGAAAATCTCGAGTTTGCCTACCCATCGTGCTTGCCGCGACACGAGGGAAAAAACAACGAAACGCGCGGCGAAATGATCGTGAAGAAAAACAAGAAACGACAGATACGGAGAGATACAGCTGTCATCTGAGGCCGCGAAAGCGAGAAAGAGATAGACAAGACGCTCGAGTAGTAAAACGGACGCAATCGTACGGCACATACGCGAACGCGAAAGTCAGAGAGAGGGGGGGGAGAGGGAGGGAGAGAGAGGGAGAGAGAGAGAGAGAGAGAGAGAGAGAGAGAGAGAGAGAGAGAGAGAGAGAGAATGAGATAAAGAAAGAAAACAAGAAAGTGAGTGAGTGAGTGAGTGAGTGAGTAAGTGAGTGAGTGAGTGAGTGAGTGAGTGAGTGAGTGAGTGAGTGAGTGAGTGAGAGAGAGAGAGAGAGAGAGAAAGAGAGAAGAGAGAAAGGAGGGAGAAAGAAAGACGCGATGAAAAGAGACAGAGGCAAGGCGGTATCGCGCACTCGGAGAAAATTCCGAGTGCGGCGGCGCGGTGGATAGCTACCTGTCAGCATGCATTCCACGATCCCACGGCGTGCTGGAGCACCAGCTGCGTGCCTCTCCGCCGACGTGTTGCCTCCGCACGGCCACCGACGACGACAGCACTCGGATACGTAATACGAGCGGCACGTCGCGTTACACACAGGACGCACACTTGTCGACTTCTCTTTGTCGCGCGTCGTTACGGGGGCAACGTCAAGCCGGTGACGTGCCGCGACGCGCGAACATGGCGCACTCACTGTCGATTCGCACAGCCTCGGCAGTTACGTTCGGCGAGCGTTCGCACGCGAATACAAACACGGCACGGAGGTACGCGCGAAGGGGCTCACCTTCGGGACGAACGGTGCGCGCTTCGCGGTCGCGCTCGGCCTCGGAGCGCGCCACTGTGTGTCTTCGCGACTTCGCGGCGGCAGGACGAGCACGACGCGGCCGGAATGCGAACGTCGTCGTCGGCACCGGGAGGATCCAGAACTCCGGCTTTGAGCACCGCGGGGTAAATACTACAACGAAGCGCGCCGCTTTCGCCTATAGAACGCCGCACGCCGGCCAATCCCCACCCGGCCAGCGCCGCCACGTGGTAGCGGCCGCGGCCAATCGCACGGTGCGGGGCGCGCGCGCTCATTCTTCCGGTCCTGTTCGTCGAGTCGGCCTGTAGTTCGCGCTCGCGCCGGACGGATTCGAAGTATCGATCTTTCGGACGCTCGATCGCGCCTGGGAAATGAGCCTTTCTGCTTTCGTCGCCTCGCTGTATACACAGGCCGTTCTAATGTTCCAATTTCTGGCGAGGATGATGTCCTCGTTCGAGGCGAGCTCCGTTTGTCAGGTTCGTTAATGAGACGGGATTTCGTATACTTGTTCGATGCCCACGCGAATCGGCTCGCCGACACATCGCTTTCGTGTCGCAATGCTCTCTCAATGGCGATCGACGAGGTTCAATGGCGCCTCACTGCCCGCCCTTTCCCCTTGCTCCTTGCAACCTGATCCCGGGTTGTTAATCGATCGTTAACGTATCCCAAAGTTGGTCAATTGCTTTGCGATACTGATAAAAACTGCGTGAGCTGTATGTATCGCCAGCGAGACCACGCGATATATCCCCCGCGATCGATGCTTCGAAACGCGCGAGGAGAACTTGACCTCGCGGCCATGAGCCGATCCGCTTCGCGTTCGGTGTCGGTGACCCGTCTCGAAGAAAGAAACTAATTCCAGGTCCGTTACGTACGCTCATGCCGTTCACTCGGATTCCCGTAGTCGCCCGAGCCGAATTTCGAAACCGTCGAGAGACCGTCCTGTGCTTCGGGCATGTTTATCCGCTGAATGTTCGTCTCAGGTGAGTATATTGAAAAAAAAAAACGCGCGATGCTTATTCCGTGCTTCATTCAAAGGACGAATTCGTAGCTTGGGTTTATTTTTATCGCGCTACACGCGCGACACAATCGATGCTCCGTGCGTATTCGTAGCCGATATATTATTCCCTCCTATCCTCCTTTCCAGCACCTTTCCGCATGCTGCGGCTCTCACGTGAGCAAAAGAAACAGAAGGCTCGCGCCGATCATTTTGGTGGCAGAAGCTTCACGAAATCCGCTACCATCTTGAGAAACCGTGTCCTTCACCTCGGTCTCTGGAAAACGTTTCCGCGATTACGCGAGGTAATGAAAATTCGTAAGAATGAATGAAATGCGCGTTATTATTTCTCGCATTTTGAGAGTATTTCGATTGCCGAGTAACCTCGTGTCTTATTTGCGACTATTAAAAGATGATACAAAAGACAAAAAGGTCAAAAGAAAAAAAGTGCGACGTCTTCCGCGTCTCCTCTCTCGTCGACGTGTTCTCACCGTATTCGTAATATTGCAGAGCCTCCGTGGACATGGCTTCCTCACATTTCTCGTTTGCCGATCCGATCCTCACCACTTCCTGTCTCTCACGATCGTCGACCTTACTCATGAGTGGCACATAACCGGATCTGACCACGCGAGTCTTGCCGGTATCTCTGACCTAAAAAACCAGGTAAGAGTTTCGTCCTTCGATACTAACCATAATCGTAGACTTCGCTGGGTTCCTCGTTCACCGTTTCTTCATACTCTTCGTCGTTGTCAGTCTGCTCGGCTTCGTTGGCGGCTTCATCGGCGGTCTCGTCGTTGATTTTATTCTCCTCGTCACCCTCGTCCTCGTCTTCCTCGTTCTCGTCTTCGTCTTCATCCTCGTCGTCTTTCACAACAGAACGGTAGGATCTGCCGTCGTCTGTCTTAGCTCGATGGCGTTTTCGAACAACGTTGTAATCGTTGCTGCGATATGCTTGCTTGATCCAACGTGGGTATTCGAGAAGACGACGTCGCGACAGTTGCAGAGAATCTTCGTGAAACGCGGATTCTACGTTCGAAGGATGTCTACGGATACTTTGGATAATTATGCTCGAGACAGGCGTTCCCGAGAAGTCCCAGTCGGCGTGGAGTCCATTATCGACGGCGCGGATACGCGATACAACTAAAAACGTCGACAGAAACGCACACATAAACATAGCCTGAGCTGTGTCATTATCGATCGGTGTCATTAACGATACGATTTGAATACTAACGCGATTAGATCGAGCACGCGCAATCGAACGCAGTCGCGATGCTGTTGAAGTCATTTTGTCGTGTATCCGAAATGCTCACATTGAAATATATTATGTAATGTGACTCCCTCTACTTGTACGTAACTGAACATTTTAATAATATGCAAATATAGTACATATTGAAATATATTGATAAAAGAACATACAAAACCAAAACACGCTTGGGCATGAGTATATAAATAATTTTCTAATAATGATTGCTTGCGTAGAACTATCGTTTATTATAATGCAAAACATAATTATTTTTTTAATTAGTTTTTCTTTAATTTTTTTAATTATTTTAATTCTTTTAATTAGTTGGGAATATATGTATATATATATATATTTATATATATAAAAACAGTATATACATTTTCAAGACGTGTCTAACATAAATTTTGAAATGCGTTGTTTTCGCCTAAGTGGGATTGTTCTCCAGATATGTTTTTATCACGATATCAGTAAGACATTTGCTCAGGCTTATGTATTCTTTGTTGCCACATCCTACCACAGGACACCTGCAAAATAAACACGCAACTATAAATTAAGTATATGGTATGTCGCAATAATTAATGTTTTGTGAAAAGCATACCTAGTTTTTCTGTTCTTCTCTAACACTGCGACAAGACTGTCCTTGTCGTACACATGACCACAGATTATATTTCTCACAGGGTTAGTCATCCTTGTCTTCGAAATTGGATCAATGACATTTATATCGGTGCAGGTAAGTCGCAATTCTGTACTTGAATCATCGAACACATTGGCTGATATGTTCTGGGTTACTGAAATATTTAAAATACTTTTAGAAAAGTATTAAAAATAATAAACTTTGAATAAACTCTTATTTCCATTAGTAGAGATTACCTTGCGACAAGCCTTGCATTTGTCGATCAAATGTCAATAACCTTATGTCTTCCAATGGGTTGACTTGAATTTCGGACATAGCTTTCTTATATGTCTGTTATAAATAGCAAATATTATGAATCTTATAAAAAGTTAGAAAACTATATAAAAAAGGTGATAATTATAAAATTAATCTTGAGTAATTGATTGAGTAAGAGATTAATGTAAATTTATAGGATGATAATGCAAGTAATGCAGAAAAATTTCTTGGTACTTCTAATTACTATAATATTAAAGACCATGTTATCTTAGAATAAGATTCTATTTACATCCATAATCGTCTGTATATTTTGGCTAGAATCAATCCCCTCTGAGTATTCCAACTGATCTTTTATTTCATTTGCAATTGTTATTTTTTTTGTCATAAGACAATTCTCTACTAAAGCATCTCTTAATTCTTTCAACATCTTATCTCTTTCTTTCTTATCATCAACTGAAAATATAAAAGATAAAAATATATTATTAAGTATAATTTTTCTTTTCTTATAAATCTATTTGAAACAATTGGTTTCAACTGTGCTTCTGGATTGAAAGAAAGGTCAAAACACATAAAACCATGCATATATGTATAAAATATATTGGGAATCACTGAGTTCTTTATATAGTATATTCCTAACCTTACTAAAGTCTTACCATATTTCACAATGTTCGTTGCCATTTTCGTAAAATTACTGTCCAGATCTCCAATTGTCTGCATAAATAGCTCCATTTTCTATTATTATATATTCTTTTATATTATTCAAGATACCAATGTCAAACACTCAACTTGCATCAAGCTTCTTCAGCTGTCAGGCAAACATATGATATACCATCTGCGGCTGCTTTCCAAAATTCGCTGCCAGTACTGAAAATATATAGTTTGTGTCACGTATACTATAGAACTTCAGTGCTGGCAGTGAATATAGGAACGCAGCCATTATCAAAACATGAAAATGACACCGTTAAATTTACGAAAGAAATTCCACTTCTGGTTAACTGCTGAGTCACACAATTTACTCGAAATTCTTATATTTAAGCACATTATACTATACTCATTTTTAGATCCTCCTCTTTCTAAATATATGTTTATACCACTGAAATATATACTATCTACCACATTCCAGTTAGTATATATTTCAGTGGTTCATACGCAGTTTAAGGGCCGATTGTTCCTATTTCATGATAAGTTAACTGATAGTTAAATCACATGTTTATCTTTGTATTTTTTTCCAGTTTAGAGAAAGACAGACATATGATTTAACTATTAGTTAAATCATATGTTTGTCTTCGTTTTTCCTTTAATTTAGACAAAAACAGAGATATGATTTAACTATCAGTTAACTTACCACGAAGTTGGAACAATTGGCCCTAAGTACAGGAAGTGTAGGTGCAGTTATAAGAGCGTGCGAACGCAAGGGGCGCTGCGAGTCGATTCCATTATTTGCCAATGAGAGCGCGATCACCGACATAGCGTGCGTTCCGTTTCACGTATATACCGCGCATTTATCTATAGTTTATGTCACGTATACCATAAAAAATGCGCGCATATGCGTGAAACGGAACGCACCCTTAGGGCAAGAGCACAGGCTTTGCGCCAGAGCACAGACTTCTGCATAACGCATAATACACAATGCATAAGAGAATCAACCAATCAGAGTTCTTCATTTCTGTCCTGAGGAGGGAAATGAAGAAAACTAATTGGTTTATTCTCTTATGCATTATATATTATGTGTTATGTAAAAGCCTGTGCTCTTGCCCTTTTGCATAATACATAATACATAACGCATAAGAGAATAAAACAATTAATTTTCTTCAGTTCCCTCCTCAAGATAGAAATGAAGAACTTTGATTGGTTGATTCTCTTATGCGTTGTGTATTATGCGTTATGCAGAAGTCTGTGCTCTGGGCTTAGATTCTTGAAAATGCCGTATACGATATTTTATGAATATTACTAGAATATCACATTTGGCAGCAAATTTGACTGGCTAGTACCGGTGACATTTCTAAATTATCGTATGCGATATTTTTTACATGTATTCGAGAATTAAGCCCCTAGCCCATACCAAAGAGGAACGTGAGAGCGGCCAACACGGTGATTTCGACGACATCGACTTTCCGCACTGAGAAAGAGCGCCATCTGCATCTATTTTGAGAGAGGAACTACGATCCTACATCCATTTTCAGGTTTCGGCGGTAAAACCTATATGTGGTGGTAGTCCGTGCTACATCCATTTTAGGCGGTTTATGTCCGTGCTACACCCATAATAGCGTACTTGACAAGCACGGTCTTGCACATTGTTACGCGTGTATAACATGAATTAACATGTTAACATGTGCAAAAAAAAAGATCTGACATTGCGTATGATTAATATCATGAAGATCATACGAAGTGTCCGGTAATTAGCTGCCAATCCGAAATGTAAGGGTAGACTGGGTTGAGACAAACATAAAAGTCTTATACCATTTTGCGAGATTCGCAATAATTATCGAGTTATTAATGACAGAAATCTGAGGAGTAAAAGCGCGCCGACATAGATGATTCGAAAAGCGTTGCAGCTGCTCGGGGCAGCGATCATGAATCTTTTCCCTAGCGTGAATTAATAAAAAGTGAAAGACTTCTGTGAATCAGTGAAAAATGAAAAATTTTATATGAATTTGTGAAAATCGAAACATTTCGCACGACAATTGAGTCGTTCAACGTGGCAGTTGCGCGTTCTGGATAATTCAATGAATACCAAAGAAATCAAAATGATCAAAATAATAATGTCCGTGTAGTCCGAAGGATATTACGTGACACGCAAAATCCGTTTGATATAATATCCAAAGAAAATGTTTCAAAATATGTACAGGTAATATAAACCTTATGCACCGACGAGATATACTACAAAGACTGATGGCCTTACGGGATTTAGCGTACCAGAGAAATTTCCCAGGTGAGGCATCCGGGCGAAAGAGACTGTCTCGCATTTAGCGCAGTAAAATTTAATGGAAACTAATACTTTTCAATCCTTTTTTTCGGATCAAAAAGATTCAGAATTCAGACATATTCAAAATGTCAATAATTTTTAATACGTTTCAATTCGACATTTTACACAGGGAAGCAGGGATTGGGACGAAGGGAATGGGATGCGGGCAACGATACATCATGCGTCTCCAGATGTGTCAAATCGTTTATTATAGAAGAGACTTTGATACGGCAACATGTATTCGAATATTTCACCGTCCCATGGACCACTTATATATAATAAAAGAAAAAAATTAACGCGGATAAACGAACGATTCGTATCAATTTTTCTCTTCTTATAGAAAAATGAAAAAGTAAATCAGTACCGCAAATCGAATATCGACCAATACCGTAAATGAACGTCAGAAAATTTTCCACGTGCAATTACAATTTGTTCTTATTTTTTAAGTACTTACCTCTCTTCTTTCTTAATTTCTTAAGTACTTACCTAGTTTACTCAACAAATTAACTTGAATAAACGCATGTTTTATATCAATTTTTCTTCTCTTATAAAGAAATGAAAGAATAAAGCAGTACCGAAAATTGAAGACCGATCAATATTTTAATTGTATGTATACTTCATTGATTCCCCTAGCGGGGTTACAAATTCCAACATAATCCCTGCTCCTTACTTCCTATTACGCTCGCCCCTATCCCCTCGCACACACACATACACACACTCCCATTCCCCGCCCCTCCTTAAATCTACTTTACAAATATCTTACATCTACTCGCTCGCTTATCTCTTATAATTAATTGTTCGCTTATCATCTATTCTTATACATATGTATATATCTATATCTATATTTCTATGCCGCTGTTACTCCTATAATTCTTATTTCCTACCGCCGATTTTCGCTTTCCACCATTCATTCCATTCCTTCACACTTTCTCCCTCGCTCTCTCTCTCATCCTTTTAATCCTCCTCGTCCTACCTCTCGTCTCCTCCACTTCTCCACCTCTCTCATCATCCCTCTCCCACCCCCCTCTCCTAACAGCCTTTCTACCAACTATCCCCATTCCTCTCCCTCTCCCTCCCCTCCCCATCGTGCACGATCAATATTTAATTTATTCATCAAATTAACGCGGATAAATGAACGATTCGTATCAATCTTTTTTTTTCTTATAGTACAATGAAAAAGTAAATCAGTACCAAAAATGGAATATCGATTAATACCATAAATCAGTGTCAAAAAATTGTTCAATTGCAATGACAATTTGTTCTCATTTTTCAAGTACATACCCCTCTAATCTTATTCAACAAATTAACTCAGATAAACGAACGATTCGTATCAATTTTTTTTGTCTTGTAAAACAATGAGAAAATAAATCAGTACCGAAAATCGAAGACCGTTCAATATCTAATTTTTTCATCAAATTAACGTGGATAAATGAACAATTTGTATCAATCTTTTTTTCTTTTATAGAGAAATCAAAGACTAAATCAGTATTGAAAACCGGATATTGATTAATACAGTAAATCAGCGTTAGAAAATTGTCTAAGTGCAATGACAAGTTGTTTTTATCTTGCAGGTACTTACCCCACTAATTTACTCAACAAATTAAATCGGATAAAAGAACGATTCGTATCAATTTTTATTCTCTTATAAAGAAATTAGAGAATCAGTCAGTACCGAAAATTGAAGACCGATCAATATTTAATTTATTCATCAAATTAACGCGGATAAATGAACGATTCGTATGAATTTTTTTTTCTTATAGAGAAATGAAAGAGTTAATCAGTACCGAAAATCGAATATTGATTAATACCATAAATCAGTGTCAAAAAATTGTCCAAGTGCAATGACAATTTGTTCTCATTTTTCAGGTTTTTATTCCTCTAATTTACTCAACAAATTAACTCGAATAAACGAATGATTCGTATCAATTTTTCTTGTCTTATAAAAAAACGAGAGAATAAATCAGTACCGAAAATTGAAGACTGATCAATATTTAATTTATTCATTAAATTAACGCGGATAAATGGACGAGTTGTATCAATTTTTTTTTCTTGTAGAGGAATGAAAGAGTAAATCAGTACCGAAAATCGAATATCGATCAATACCATAAATGAACGTCAGAAAATTTTCCTCAATATTTCTTTTAAATATTGGACACTATTAACAAACGTGTTAAATTTTTATAACACGATATAATTTTTACTTTTAAAAGTTTATGTACATATATATCTTACAAAAAAAATAATTTGATAAGTTTTACTTATAAAAACTTATGTTATGTACATAATATTTAAAAAGATATTTATTTTTAAATATTGGACACTATTAACAAATGTGTTAAATTTTTATAACACGATATAATCTACGGTATACAAAAGCTGCGCAACGATAACGAAAGTGTTGTTAACTCCAATAGCGAGTTAAAGAATCGCGCCGCTGATCTGTTACATCGGATTCGATAATCCGCAAGGCACCTGGAACATAAAATATGATATTCTCGAACAGCGTTCCTCTCAGGATTTTCTTGTCCAAAGAAAGATCAATGATGCGATCGCAGATCTCGTGTATGTCATGTCAATAGAGACAGTTTGAATTCGGCGTAATATGATTCTTGGAACAGACGTAAATAAGTATTGTGAAGTTTGAAGCGAGTCTCTCACAGGCATGCTTTGAAAACACGAGTTGTTTTCATTTTCGGCTAACGGACGACGCAGGCATCAACACTGATCGGCAAAGTGGGGGGTAACCGTGCCTTCCCGATTGTTTGGTTTCGTACGCTTATATATGACTCCGTGATTGCGGAAAGGACATTGCGCCTCGGGCAGACGAACGACGCGTATATCGCGACGCAGAGTACGAGTGTCGGTAGTCGTATCGGTTAATACGCGT